CGGGGCGCCCCTCCTCGTCCCGCCCGCCCCGCCAACCCGCTCGGGGCAGTTTTTTTCGCCTCATTCGGGGCGGGGCACCGTCGAGGTGGGGCGGTTTTTTTTGCCATATCTAATCATATCACTATTCAAAAATCAATTCTTCCCCCAAAAATCCCTACCAAACAAGCTCTGGGTTTAATTTTAGGTGGGTTAGGCTTTCAATTTTTCAAATGGGCTAGGGCTTTAACCAAATTTTTTTTTTTCAAATTGTGGGCTTGGGCAAGGGTGGGCTACAGCCCACCCCAGCCCCCCTATCTCCGCCCATGACCACGTGGCATATGTAACACGTCTCCCTCAACTGTTGGATATTTGAAAACAACATACATAAAACATGATATGCCACATAATGTATTTATTGGACACTACCAATCCACCTAGGATGAGTGTTTGCGCGCATCACAGTTGGTTACATTATTCAATCAGTCGATCCCTAATTGGTTTAAATGTGGAAACTGAGTGCTAACAGTGTAGTTTGTAGTGTGTGTTATGAGAAATTTGTTGTAAATGGGTTAAAAATTTATATGCACTTGCGTGGATGGGATGTTTCTCCTTTGTGGGTCCCCGGCCGATCGATGAAGGGTTGTGTCTAATATCATTGGGCCTACAAAAGAAGAACGTTGATGTGATGAAATAGTGGAAGATGACCGATTGACCCGACCATCTTTCCAAAATAACCTTTGACCAATTAATAATAATAAAAGGTTGAAATAGGAGTTAGAAAACAAAAGGCGAAAAATACCCTGAAGGAGAAAAGAAAAAAATTCTCTCACAGTCCATCCAGTCAAAACGGTCGACCAACACCGACCACAATAATCTAGTGACCAATGCCGACCACCATAGAAAGAACCATGTTACCGGCGAAAAAACAAGATTAGTTTTGGTAGACTATGAAATGAATTTTTCATATAAGTGTAGAATATAAATTTGATTAAGTTTGACATTTATTCAGCTTATTTGTTGATTATTAAATTTTTGGGTTGGAGATCACTGGAAATGGCGATCTCCGGTAGGACAGTTGCGAGTTGGACTGTAAAAAGTCAGACCAACAGTCGTTCGACCCATTTATTTATTTTTTTTTAATTCTACGCATTGAAAGGCCATTGTGATGAATAGTTAAAAAATTGGTCAAAATGGAAAATGACCATGTTGACGTGGCCAATTTGAAAAGTATCCCACGTTGATGCAAGCAGAACAGTTGGATCTGCGATGTCATCTTAGTCAACTTGATATCTATAAATAAAGGGCTCATCCCGCCTATTTTCATTCTTTCAACATCCAACAACCCCCACGCTCATCTTCTCTCTAGCCACAACTTTCTCTCTCTATCATCTATTGCCATTCGTAACGAAGATCAACTCATTTGAGATGAATTTAGAGCAACTAACCCTATTAATTCAAGTGGCAACCAAAGTCGTGCTTCGTGAATGTGATTTATCTATTTGGTATTGGGCCCGGGTTATGGTCAATCTCATAGAAGTATTGGGTAATTTTGAGGGAAAAAATCATATTTAAGGTGTATTCTTTACCTCAATTCAAAAATAGGGTAAATAGATTAAAAATTCAAAAATCAGGTATGGATTAAAT